AATCGAAGAACGAGGTGAAGTGTACTTTCTTTTTGGATGTTGTAATCACTCAATGTGCGACCATCTTCGAGTTGTTTACCGGCGAAGATAAGACGTTGTTGATCAGGTGGAATTCCTTCTTTATCTTGGATTTTAGCTTTCACATTTTCGATTGTGTCACTTGGCTCGACTTCCAGTGTTATTGTTTTGCCGGTGAGAGTTTTGACGAATATTTGCATACCACCACGTAATCGAAGAACGAGGTGAAGTGTACTTTCTTTCTGGATGTTGTAATCGCTCAATGTGCGACCATCTTCAAGTTGTTTACCGGCGAAGATAAGTCGTTGTTGATCAGGTGGAATACCTTCCTTGTCTTGAATCTTAGCTTTAACATTTTCGATTGTGTCACTTGGTTCGACTTCGAGTGTTATTGTCTTGCCAGTAAGTGTTTTAACAAAAATTTGCATACCACCACGTAATCGAAGAACGAGATGAAGTGTACTTTCTTTTTGAATGTTGTAATCGCTGAGTGTTCGACCATCTTCGAGTTGTTTACCAGCAAAGATAAGACGTTGTTGATCAGGTGGAATTCCTTCTTTGTCTTGGATTTTTGCCTTCACATTTTCAATCGTATCACTTGGTTCGACTTCAAGTGTAATAGTTTTTCCGGTAAGAGTTTTTACAAAGATTTGCATTATTATTGTGTAATAGCAAGTAGACAATAAGAAGAAACAAATATATGTTTAGTAAAAATGAATGAAGTAATGTGAAAAAAATTTCTGTTTTTATATTGTATGTTATATGAAAATGAATCAGCAGTCGAACATTCGAGATGACGACAGAAGATTTCAAATACAATAATGGTGACACATAGTTACCAATAACAAATAAAAGAAACGAGAATGAAACAGAAAAGAAAAAAGTTGAGTGCATAACTAGCAATAGGAGATAGGAGTGACTCAGCGAATCAATAGCAAACGTTGTATTTCAGAGGGCGCTGGAAATTTCATACTCTCAGAGACATTGAATTTCGTCACTCAAAGTAGTAAAAAAACAAAAATAAGATTTTATTTGAATTCTTTGTTTTGTTGTCAAAGTTTATGAAATTATCAAGTAATATTTCATGAATATTGATGAGTATGTAATAATGATGTTCAAAACTTAGTTTGCTTTTTTTCTCCGTGTAAATATCATACTCATGATATATTTTGATGTCATTTATTCATACTAAATGCTAGTAAACATAGATTTCAAGTGCAGTACAAAATGATATGATTAAATCTTATACAATATAAATAATTTTTTGGCTTTGCTAAAATTCTCTACAGTAGTATCTAAAATCAAAATTTTTCAAAAAAGAGTTGATCTTTAATTTAAATACGAATCAACATTTTCTAAACTGGGTTTATTTTCTGATGAATTGTTTTCTTTTAATGAGAACTCACTTTTTCATAAGTGTATGTTGTAATATGAGCTCTTGAAATTAACCATCTGGATAAACACTGATGTAAGAATATGGTCAAAACTACTTAGATATTATTAATAGTGTCAATAATTGTTAAAGAAGACATAAACAATTATGCCAAATGATCAATCAATCAATCAGGAGCTCTTCATCGATGCTTGTCCTTTATCAGTGCAATATTTTCAGTAATGAAGTAACACAGACAAAAATGAAGTTCTTATCATAAACAAAGAGATATTTTATATTAATTAAATATTTATCAGCATTAATATCGATTCAGTTTCTGATTAATATCGATTCATATATTTGTTTTTATATACAAAAACCTAAACAAAAATATCTTCTTAAAGATCACAACATTAAAAGAAGAATTTTCACATGAATAGTTATACGCTAAGAGACAAATACATAATATGTTTTGTCCTGTTTTACATGTTAATCCTTCATCATATTTTATATATCCGATAACTAAAAAATAAAAAACAGTAGAAACTCATAATTGAAACATGACCTTGATACATAAATAATAGATATAAGATGTAGTCAGCCATTTTATAGTCCAACACGTAATAAACATTCCTCATCACGCTATAATTTCTCTATGTTAACTGTTTATCATGAACGATAACCATACACTTTATTCTAATCTATATAAATGAGTATGTTTGATAGTCAAAGCTATATATGTTTTGCGTTGATTTTATAGTGAAATTAGAAGATATAATATCACAAACTGAATCTAGCAAGAAGTAATGAAAATCTTCTTATTTTACAAAAAAACTAAAATTATATTTAACAACCAATCGTTAGACTACTAAAGTTCAACTAATATTATAAAAAGACGTACTAGAAAGACGATACAATAATAAAAAATGGAACGATCAAATTAATAAACAAAACACATTTGTTTTAGTCAAAGATTTAATTTAATACTAAGAAAACAAACCATCTTTAATGAGAAGATACATATATAATCTTCAAACTCTTAATATGAATCAAATTTTGAATCAATTAGAACAAAAGATTCAAGTTGGTCTTTTTTACATTTTGAACAATAATAAAACACAACACTAATTCTAATAATAGCATGGTCAAGTTGTTAGCAATTGGATCTATTGTCATTACTATAAATTAACAAATACCTAACAAGAATTGATGTGTTTATTTATGGCACTTCTCAAGGCTAGCATTTTCTCGAGTATATCATATAATTAGTATGACCTTTCTCTACATTTTTTTTATACCAGACGCTTCAGACAAACAAGCACGTTTGTTTCTTTCATTCATAAAGTAAATTAAATTTATAAGCATCAATACGTAGTTGTTTTATTTATTTCCTTATCGATAAGACAATATCAATCATGTACTGACTGTTAATGAGAAATTCATAGAAGAAATCATACACGTATACAATATTATGAATAGCAGAAATAATGAGAATAAACAGAGAAAAAAAAATAATCAATTCAGTTCAATTCTTAAATGTAATGCAGATTTTTTTTTTATTGATCATCACCACCACGTAATCGAAGTACAAGATGAAGTGTACTTTCCTTTTGGATGTTATAATCACTTAATGTTCGACCATCTTCAAGTTGTTTGCCAGCGAAGATAAGTCGTTGTTGATCAGGTGGAATTCCTTCTTTGTCTTGAATCTTGGCTTTAACATTTTCAATGGTGTCACTTGGTTCAACTTCGAGTGTTATTGTTTTGCCAGTAAGTGTTTTAACAAAAATTTGCATACCACCACGTAATCGAAGGACCAAGTGAAGAGTACTTTCCTTTTGAATGTTATAATCACTTAATGTTCGACCATCTTCAAGTTGTTTGCCGGCGAAGATAAGTCGTTGTTGATCAGGTGGAATTCCTTCTTTGTCTTGGATTTTTGCTTTAACATTTTCGATAGTGTCACTTGGTTCGACTTCAAGTGTAATTGTCTTGCCGGTAAGAGTTTTGACAAAAATTTGCATACCACCACGTAATCGAAGAACTAAGTGAAGAGTACTTTCCTTTTGAATATTATAATCACTCAATGTTCGACCATCTTCGAGTTGTTTACCAGCAAAAATAAGACGTTGTTGATCAGGTGGAATTCCTTCCTTGTCTTGAATTTTTGCTTTAACATTTTCAATAGTGTCACTTGGTTCAACTTCGAGTGTAATTGTTTTGCCAGTAAGTGTTTTAACAAAAATTTGCATACCACCACGTAATCGAAGGACTAAGTGAAGAGTACTTTCCTTTTGAATATTATAATCACTTAATGTTCGACCATCTTCAAGTTGTTTGCCAGCAAAGATGAGACGTTGTTGATCAGGTGGAATACCTTCTTTGTCTTGAATCTTGGCTTTAACATTTTCGATTGTATCACTTGGTTCAACTTCAAGTGTAATAGTTTTGCCAGTAAGTGTTTTTACAAAGATTTGCATAATAATTGTTTGATAATAAGTAAGAGAAGAGAAGAAATAAGTATATGTTTAGCGCGAGCTGAATGAAATAACGTTAGAAAAATTGCTGTTTTTATACTATGCGCCGCGTGACAACGTCAGCTTCTTGATAATTCGCAATAATGAAGAAATTACGATGTATTAATAATGACGCAGTGCAACAGGGGACAAAAATAAAGAAAAAGAAGAAAAGGCGAGAAGAAGGTGAACTTAAAGGTCGAAAATAGACAATTTACGTCAATTGATTTAAACTATTCGCAATTATATTGTTACATTACAGTTGTGAAAGAATTTTTCTCATAAGATTAATGTTAAGATTTACTTTCACTCAGAAATTATATTGTAAATAAATTCAATTGAAATAAAATTATTCGCTATGACGACGAAGGACAACAAATTATTTTTGATTTGTTAAATTCTTATCCAATCAAATTGTTTTGAGCTATGGTACATATTTTTTTCTGATGAAAATGTTAGATTGATCTATATCTGTAACATATCTATTCTGTCTGGGGAAAATAGTAGAAGAAGGAAAGAATGTTATAGTTAACAGATGTTGCTTGTACATGATAATGTGAAAAAAAAGGGTATGATGGTCGTCACAGACTGATACTGTCATGAACATGAAGCTGACTCTTGTATCTTTCTCTTGCATAATCGACATTTGATTTGTTTTCTTATGTCAGTAACATATTCAGTGATAGACATGAATATACTTGATGGTTTTTTTCTCCTTTAGATTTTCTCTAGAAAAAGACAAACATGTTTGTTATACAAATATTTTTCTTTATTATTATCAAATTAATTCTTATACATAGTGAATCATTTACATCAACAACACATTTAACTCATTTATTAAATACTGAAATTGTTTTAGCTAAAAAATTAGAAATATATCTAAAACAAGAATATGAACGATTAGATCATATAGAAAAGTAATAATAATTTTCTAATTAATCTATTTATATGATTTTTGTTAAGATTTATTAATGTTATCAAAGATGAAATTCGTCAAGCACAAAGAAATGAAGATTATTATTTTGGTAATCCAGTTAATGCTTATTTATTTATCAAACATTTAACAATTGATTGGAATAATATTGAAGAAATATTACCGACAGGTGTAAATAATTTCATAAGAAAACTATGATTTAATCATCAACTTTCGTTTTTATTTTTTATTTTTGTAGAATTTGCAAAGGATATAACCCATAAATGGTTATTTCCTACATTTGAAGATTATACTGGTAAATGAATAATTCTTCTTTTTCTTTTCGAAGTATATTCTATTAAAAAATAAAATAGGATCTGCTATGGGATTAATGCGTTTACAAGACACATATAAATTAAATACAAGTCAACTAGCTAATGGTGACTTAAGTTCAAAATTTAAATCAAAACGATTAAGTGGTTAGTTTAATAAACTTTTTATGTATAGTTTTCTTTTTTTGTTCTATGGATAACTTCCGATCAGTGAATGGATGTCGGAATCTTGTCACCACCAAGAAAATGTTTAGGAGTTTTTAATAAAGGTTTTTTTTTTCAGAGAGATCAGAAAAAGTCTAATAGAATAAGGATTCATAGGTCCTTCTTCTCGAGTTATTGAGCATTTTACTAGGTTTATCGAAAACTTAAGGTACCGATTTTCGATCTGAAATTTTCCGTACATATAGATCTCATCACTTTTACAACGAACTAAATGTCATAATCAAAACAAATGTTTGGTATCTCAAGATATTGTGTTTACAACAGAAGTCAATTTCCGTAGCGTTAAGATGTTTAATGTCTCGTAAAAGAAGCATTCATTTTGATTATGAGATTTATACATAGATAAGATTTCAGATCGAAATTCTATATTTTGAATTTTCAATAAATATCTTATTATAAGTGATACACTTATTAAAACTCTCATAACTTCTATAAGAAAAAAAAATTAACGCAAAAGCTCTGAATCACTTCAAGTAGTTTTCTTGTCAGTCATTTTCATAGATGAAAATTATGATTCAATAATTTATTTTTCATAGCTTTGGAATGTTATGATTTGGGACGTGTTGCATATACAAATGGTGATTTTTATCATACATTAATGTGGATGCAAGAAGCGCTTGATCATTTAGATACAGAAACAAATAATACATCAATTAACAAAATTGATATATTAGATCATCTTGCTTATGCAACATCACAGGTAAAAGAAAAAAGAAAACATGGTAGTTTGTATTAATTAAATTCTTATTTTTTTTTAATATATTTTAGCAAGGAAATGTTGAACATGCATTAGCTATTACTAAAGAAATCCTTACAATTGGTAGCAAAAAAATTTCATTTTTGATTTTTAGAAATAACAATTTCATTGTTTGTATTTTTTTTTTATCTTTTTAGCTCCAGATCATATTCGTGCAAATAATAATAAATTTTATTATGAATCTATTATTAATAATCGAACATTAGCAAAACAAAAACGAAAAGATGATACGGATATAAATGAATCAACAAATCTTAAATTAATTTCAACAATATCAAATATTAAAAATTATACAATAAATAATGAACGAACAAATGATGATTTAGAAGAACAAGAATTATATGAAAAACTTTGTCGACAAAATGGAGCTCAAGTAAAATCTAATGAATCCAAATATTTATATTTTAATGTTTTATTTTTTATTCTTTAGTTAAGTCCAAAACATCAAGCAAAATTATTTTGTCGTTATCGTCATAATAATCATCTATATCTTATATTACAACCAGTTAAAGAAGAAAAATTATTAGAGAAACCAGCTATTTATCTTTATCATGATATTATGAGTGATTCACATATTGAAAAACTAAAATCACTTGCTTCACCACGAGTATGTCATATTTAAATAGAATATATGATAATAGAAGATATAGTTTAAATAAAATTCTCACTTTACAGTTACAACGTGCCGTCGTTCGTGATTCTACCACTAATACTTTTAAACCAGCTGATTATAGAGTTTGTAAGAGGTACGAGATAGATGCATTTATAGTTAGTTATTTACACTGATTATCAATTGCACATGGTGTTCAATTTATTATTATTTTTTTTTGTTTGTAGTTAATTAATAATACAAGGGATTTTATGCAGTTGACTGCTGTGTCTGATTTATCAGAATGAAAACTTTTATGAGTTTAGATACTACTAATGGTATTTTATAATAATATCATTGAGTTATTGTATAATTAATAGAAATATATACATAGGGTAAAATCTAGAATAATTTAGCTGTTCGATTCTGCTTTTCTTCTTCTCTATCTATGTATAATAACATTGAATTAACATATTTAGAATTACGATTAGTCAATCTGAATGTTTTTCTTTTGCAAAATTGAATAAATGAACTTATTGTGAGGTAGATGCTTTAACAATAGATTCTATCGTTGCTAAATTGTTTTGTTTTTTTCTTAAGCTATTCTTTAAAACATGTCGTTTATACAGAACTAATTTTATACCTAATTAATAGTTTTTTTTATCGTAGATTGCATGTTAAAAAATTCAATGCTGCTCATAAATATATTTTAATAGTATCGTAAAACGATTAGAATAAATAAGGATCGATCGGTATTGCGTACAGAGTTACTAACACTTGTTATTTTGAGTTAAAAATAGTTTGAAGTATCTTAACGTTTGGATTCAACTATTTCTAAACATTGGTGCCTTTTTTTAGGATGTGTGCAGATTTTCGGTTTTTTTTTTGAATTATTTTGTTCTACTGTTTATAGATCTACCATAGTTCAGCACGAAATCCCTTTTTTTTTGACTTACTTCCGTTTCATTTTATTAATTAACTGAAAACGAGCGTAGTCCAGACCGAACTCGAACGTTCGGATTCAGTGCATGTCTATTCAAGATAGTTTTGTATACCCTATGTACAATAGAATATTTGATATTATACTCAAAAGACCCTTTCTTTGTTTTCATTTCCATTTGATGAATATTCAATTTCGGATATTTATCTCACAGCTATGGTTATAGCTGAGAAGAGCAATTATACAAAATTCTAAAACATCAAAAAAAAATGAACATGCCAGTTATAGAGTGAGCAAAAGGTACGAAATGAGACAAGATGTTGTTCCCAATTTTCATCTATATGCATGTCAACCAGCTATTATTTTCAATCGTTAATATTGAAAGCTTTTAATTTACAATTCACTTCATCAGTTAATCATATTTAAAATTAGTATTTTGTATGTTATGTTTTTGCTTTATGCATGTATCAATTATCAATATTGAATTTAATTTGAATATTATTTATTAAAGATAATTTTATATTTTAGTGCTTGGTTAAGAAATGAAGATTCACCAATAGTAGCTCGTCTATCACGATTAATTGAAGCTGTTACAGATTTAAGTATGATAACAGCTGAAGATCTTCAAGTATGTAGATATAATTATTATAGAAGAGGAAAAAAAAAAACTTATTGATTAAATTATAAGATTGCAAATTATGGTGTTGGCGGTCATTATGAACCACATTTTGATTTTGCACGAGTGAGTTTATTCTATTTAATAATTTTATTAAGTAAAATATTCAATTTAGAAAATAGAAAATGACGCTTTTTCAGGTCTTAGTGCTGGTTAGTTAATAAAATTTTGTATGAGAAAATTCTATAATGAAAAAAAAAAAAACTTTGTTTTACAGGCAATCGTATAGCTACATGGTTGACTTATGTAAGTTAATTTTTGTTAGAAAGATTATTCAAAACATAAAATTTTCTAGATGAGTGATGTCGAAGAAGGTGGTGCAACTGTTTTTCCTTTAGTTGGTGGTCATTTAAAACCGAAAAAAGGAAGTGCAGCATTTTGGTATAATCTTCATCCATCTGGCGAAGGTTAAAAAGTGTATTTGATTTTTTCTATATTTATTATAAATTGATTTTTCATTTTTAGGTGATCGTAATACTCGTCATGCAGGTAGAATTTTCTTTTTTAATGCTTTTATATACGTTGGTGTTTTTTTTTTCTCTTAGCTTGTCCTGTATTGATTGGTAATAAATGGGTAGCAAATAAATGGATTCGTGAACGTGGTCAAGAATTTCGTCGACCATGTTCACTTGATCCAATGGCATGAATATTTAAAAAAAAAAATATCTTGACATTTTATTTTGAGTGAAAATTTTTTTTGCCAATTTTAGTGTATATAGTTATAACAGAAGTAATGATATGAGAAGATAAACAATTGAAACTCAGGTTGATTAATTTTGTCTTTTTTTTTTGTTATTTATGACATTAGTATTTAGTTTTATTAGTATTGAATTTTGACAAGGTAAAAAGATAAATATGAAGCGTGTTTTGCATATTTTTTATCGATTATCTTTGTTGAAATAAATGATTTTTTTTTTTACTTTTATCAATTAATGAATATTCTTTTGTTTCCTAAAACAGATTGACATGACATTCATTTTTCTCTCAAATATATTATAAGTTATATAATGAGTTTATATCAAGAAAAAATAAATGCGATATTTATCATATAATGAGGATAGCTGTTTTCAGTATAAGATTAAGGTCATCATGGTTATTAGCAATGAACCTTACCAACTGGAAAATGTTAGATGTTCATCGAGAAATCAGTAAGTTTTATTGAATTTTCAAGTTCGTTTATTTCAACTAAACCGAAAGTAATTTATTATTACATTGAATAGAATTCTCATTTGATCTAATGAGTTAATAGCGGAATCGAATTATATCTGTTATGAAATAAGACAAATCTTCTTATGCGTTGTGTTATTGATGAAAATCTGACGATAGAAACTCAAGGGTAATATGATTAAATATATCATTAAGACATGTTCTTTTTTGTGTTTGTCGTCTTTGGCCTTGATTTAATCGTATGACATAATCATAATATTTAAACTCTATGTGAGTTCCTGGCCACGGCTTATTTGGATATAATCTTTTCAAGCTGGAAATTACAATCTAATATTGAAATAATAATTAAAAACAAAATTATCTGAATGATTGCTTATAGCAGACACGAACTGATTAATAAAAAAGAAAATTTTTTTTACATCAGCTATATACGATGAATATAAAAGAAATGATTTTAAAGAATATCTTTATCAAATATCCAAATCGACTTGTATTTTATTTAAATAATAATTATTTATCTAACAATATAATTAGCTTCATCTTATATTTTTATGATAATATTACCCAAAAAAAAAGAAAAATTTCTTCTTATTATCTAAAATCATTAGAAACAACGACAAAGTATTTCTTAAGAAAAAAGACTACGAGTCAAATAGTATTCTAATATCGTCATATGCAAACAGAAGAAGAATTCTATACACTTCATAAATATATATATCATGTGTCCCAAACAAAAAGATACAAAGATAGATAATATAATATGATATTATTTTTTTCTACTTGACTTCTAGTAGATAGGGCGGATCAACCCAGACCAATCTGTCTATTTTAATAATTTCTACACTGTTTGCCCTTCTGATAAATAAAATTTAGCAATAAGATAAACTTTGTTTATTTGTATTATAACAACTATACCTTGAAGAAATTATTTTCTAATGAGTTGATTGTTTCGATAAATTCAATCTATAATGAGTCATCAAAATCTCAAGGTCAATAATTTTTTTTTTATTTCTTAGATTTTCATTTGATGTTCAAGAACACACCAAATCTGTACTAACGTAACAAACAAATCTCAACATTATATAAATAAATTTTTTTTTTTTTCTTTAATTTTTATGATGTAACATAAGCATATAAAGTCATTCCATTTTAATCAACGATAAGTTTAAGAAGATGAAATTTATCTATTTCATTTTTATATTGATTTGTATTTTTTATTTAGAACTATTATATTTAATATAGAAATGAATCAAGCTAAGTACTATTTCACGAACATATTTAACTACTATCTAATGTATTCTAAATGATAGTTCATTATGCTAAAGTTTATCTATAGTAGATTTTGATAATAAAACTTGTGAAATAAATGCTTGTGTTTATTGAATTTAAGAGAAATACGAGGACAAATACGTATCATTTTCATTTGGATATTACTTTTTGTAATCTTCATAGGTTTCAAGATGGATTTACCTATGGCTTCGATCTCCAACAAAATAAATAATTAACTACTGCTCCTCTGAAAAGAAAAAAAAACTAATGATAATATTACTCGCTTATCTAGGTTATTCGAGTCCAGGTCGATATATAAATAGACAACATTCCTTTGCCCTTAATTAACAAAGATTGCATCACTTGTGGTTATAAAAGTTAAGTTTGTAAATTAATACTCGAAAGATCTGAATAAAATTTGTGTCTCATCTAGAATACAAAAAAAATGATTAATGTTCTATTAATTGATCAAAAAATTTAACATTGTTAACCTTCTTTTGGATATATAAATAATATTTTATTCGGTATATATATTTATAGGTTAAGATCAATATTATTCACTAATTCAATATATGAACAAATTTAAACTCTATCATTCAGTGTTCAAGTACCGATTGATTGTCAACCATTAGTTCAATCAATTTTCTTACAAACATAACAATATGAATAATTGATAGGACAAGGTCAAAAACGATTATATGCCGGTACACAATAGAAAAAAAAAGCTTTCATTCTAATTGAACAATTTAAACTTTCGGGTTATTAAATGAATAAAAAATAGAATGATTATGGCTGAAACTGAAGTCAATAATTTTAATTGTTATAGGTTGAATGTTTGTTAAATAAAACTACTTTGCATTGTTTTAGTTGTTCTTTTAAACTTTATTGTAATCTTTTATCGTTTATTTCTAATGAGCAAAATATTTTGTTTTGCATAGAGAAATAAATGTTCGCTACTATTACATTATTCAATAAGTCTATAATAAGTAATAATAGCATTATTAGGATTTATTCCAAAAGTAAACTATGTCGAAAAGAACATAACATTTGAATTTTTCTGAAACCAAAAATTTTCTTGTAGTATTGAAGATTCTATATATTTTAATTAATCAACTAAAATGATTGATTGTCAATTAAAGAATATGAAAAATATATATTGAAAAAAAAAAAAAAATCATTAAATTCTGTCATCTTAAAATACAAAGTTCATTATAACATTTTTCTTTTTATTATAGTTGAAAAACATAATGAAGAAAAATCATTCATTCATTCTATTCAATATTTTATTTAGTAACCAATTGACTGAAAACGAAAACTATACATACTTGATTTTGATTAGACTTTTATTTCAATAGGCGTAAATCATGTCGATGTATTGTTGTTACAACTACCAATTTATTTGAACAATATGAGATTTACTATCAAGAGTTATAAATCATTTGTTTTTATCTATGTCATTGAATAATAGAAAAAAAATTTGATCTATAAGCATTTAATGACTTTTTTCATCAAATAAACTCATTAATAGTGTAAAAATAACAAACAAACAAACAAAAAAGAAAGTCTCGTTAGTGTAGTTGTAGTTGGTGTTTTTTTTTCCTGTAAATAATCATAATTAGTTGTTTCAAAACAAATAATAATTATTAAAGTTTGATTTGTTTATTTGCCGAATTTAATAAACGATCGACATTACTAAAAACAGTTTTTTTTAAACCACGATTATTTTGTGATGTCATCATGTCTATATCATTTTCATCTGAACTATCACAAAGATTTTCATCATCATCATCATTACCATATTGATTTTGATTATCATTCATATTTTCAATATTATTTCCATCATTTGCAATTAAACCACATTTATCGGATGATGATGTATGCATACCAATAGTACTTAATACAGTTTCGGCAGTTTTAATCGGAAAACTTTTTTGACTACCCGTTGATGAACAAACACTACGACGTGAACGAGTTTTTTCAGAATTATTATTTATAAATGTTTGTTGAGATGATAATGTTGTAAATGTTGTTGGAGAACCATTATCATATGAATTTTGAGATAAAGAATACGACGCAATACTTAAATTTGATACCGATGAATTATCTTCGGACATATTAAAAAGATTTGTTAATGAATCAGATTTTTGTCGAATATTTGTTGATAAACTACAAACACTGTCAATTTCACTTATATCACTAGTTGAACCAGCTATTGAAACTAAAGAAAAAAAAATTAAAAGAAAAAAATTTTTTTAATTTTCTTTATTATATTTAAATTTTTACTTGATTGTTGAGATATTGATGGAGATATATACTCTTCCATTTCGAGATACGTTGGTGAATGAGGAGGGAGAATACGTCTTTGAAATTTCATTTTCTTGTTGTTTATTATGCAGTTGTTCACCTTCGTCAAATAAGGTCACATCGAAGATTCACCCACTCGTTCGATTATTATTTTTTGTTGTTATACGTTGTCATCGTGGTTAACGCAAATATAAGAAGGAGAAAGGCAAAGAAAAAAAAAAAAAAAACGAAACGCAAATGATGACTAAATGCCTAGAATGTGAAAGAAAAAAAAAGAAAGTTTTTTTTTTTCTGACTCGACCGAGACAGCTAACAGTGGAATATTGAGAACGACTGTCTTTAGTTGACGGAAAACTAGACAAGACTGTGAATAATATATATTATTCTTTAACATACTAACTCGACATGTTTTATAAAAGAAAAAAACCAAGAAAATTTATATTTATATATCATTTTCTTCCTTCTTTTTCACTTTTCTCTATTACATGAGAGTATTATTAATGCTTACCGCCAATCTTGTGCAAAAGAATTTTGTTACTTATGTTCTGTATTCTGTTATTTTTTTTTTTTTTTTTATATGACAAGGAAAAAAAAGAAAGAACATAAATATGAGAAAAGAAAAAGTGAATTGGTATTCAGCCAAATATAATGAATCAATACAATGACATGCACAACATAAGAAGGAATACAAAAAAAAAAAGAACAAACTAAATCTTTTTTTTTTTTCTACAAATAAATAAATAAATAAATAAATTTTGTTTTATGAATAAACAATCGAAAGAAAAACAACGAAATACAATTATTTGATTGTATCAAGAATCTCTTTCAATAAGTGCCGCAAATTCTATCAAGAAAAAAGAAAATTTTTAACTTGTTCATGAAAAAAAAAAAAAAAAACAAACTATT